CAAAAGGGTGAGTCAAGTTGAAATGGCAACATCCTTCTCTAAATTTTACCCTCGGGTGGCTCACCAAAGGGTGAGTCGACTTGGCAGGGCAACATCCTTCTCTAAATTTTACCCCTGCACTGCCCACACAAAGGTGTGAGTCAAGTTGAAATGGCAACATCCTTCTCTAAATTTTACCCCTGCGTCAACCAGTGAAACACACGTGAAAGCACAGACATGAGAGCACATAAACGAAAACACATATTCTTTGTTGAGGGAATGGGTCACGACAGAGTGACAACCAAAGTGAGGGCATGAGTGACTAAGTCAGCAAAGAAAGAAGTAAGTAAGTGGCCAATTATATGGCACCCCTGTTCATATTGAATAAGACAAGGGAGTTTGTGAGGAATCACCCTGAAAAAATATCATTGTGGCAGGTGATTGTAAACAGATCCCACCCATAAAGGACTTGACAAATGGTATGACACATGAAGAGTATTCAGACCATTGTATGGGTTCCATTCTTAAATGTAGTATTTTCCTGAAGATATGTAAGAGAGTGGGAGGGAAGGGCGCCGAAGAGGGAGAAAAGAACAGGGCAGTGTTGGATGATTTGTATGTTGACTACTGGCTAAAGAAGTTACCCATAAGAGACATCATTGAGAAATACTTCATTGATACCGACAACGTTATGACATCTGATAGGCACATAGCATACACCAACTTGAGATGTAAAAGTGTAGCAAATAGGGTCAGGGCATTGTTAGATTTTAAAAAAACATGTACGTATGAAATAGGTGAAGAGTTGATACGCCGTCTTTATCTGGACAAGGATGGTATGAAATCTAATGTGATAAAGTTATAAATATAAACTCCTGCGTGATTACAATACAAATTATCAAAGAAAAACAGAAGACATATTGCGCTACTTGTCACAGTTGTCAAGGGGCGTCCATCAAATCAACAATCACCATCCACGAATGGGAGAAAAAGAATCTCGTCACTAGGGAGTGCTTATGGACATGCATCACTAGAGCAACCGATTTCAGGAATGTTTACTATTTCAAGAACGATTCTGATGATGATAGGATACATGGTTTACCGTTAAGCAACTACTTGAAGAAAAACATAGATGGGCATAAGGTTCAGGACTTCAAGGCAGGAAGACACACCAATGCCAGGAACTATGTGAACGTGCGCTGGTGCTAGAGAGACTGGCTGAGTGCTGTCAGAAGTGCGGTGGGTTTTTGAGATAGATGACAAAAGGGAAATCAAGTAGCACTGTTGCCGTGCAACGTTTTGACAATGCCTATTGCCATTCCAAAGATAACTGCGTGGCATACTGTAGATACTGTAATTGTAGTTCTAAATAATCTCTACTTTAGATATATGTCATCTAAACAAAACAGTTTTTCTGATATATATGTTGACAGAAGTGGTTTTGGGAGCAAGGCTGTGACCTTGCAAGATGCCAGAAAAAAGGGATAGGACTACAAGCAGTTCCCGGGCAAGCCGGCGGCGGAAGTTTCCTATAAGAACAAATTGACCTATAGGAGTCGGTTCTCTCAAACACGCGCGTCCCCCAGTCAAACGCACGCGCTCCGGACTTTTGATCAACACAGCGCCACCTGTGCAAGGTCTGTGCTTCCTGCAGGATCAGCAGCTCACAACAGCGTACCGGGTTGTGTCTATGGCAAAGCAAGATCAGCAGCCCACACCGGCGTGCTGAAGCAACTGGGCAGCTACAAACTTACCTGTTGACAAAACAATCAACTGTAACCAGTGTTGGGTTATGATGAGTGGTGTATGATGAGTGATGTATGATGAGTCTTGTATGATGAGGAGTGTATGACGAGTGGTGTATGATGAGTGGTGTATGTTGAGCGGTGTATGATGAGTGGTGTATGATGAGTGGGCAGCGAGAGATGACTCAGCAATGAGAGATGACTCAGCAACCACAGATGACTCAGCAGCGAGAGACGACTCAGTCGCGAGAGATGACTCAGCAGCGACAGATGACTCAGTCGCAAGAGATGACTCAGCAGCGGGAAATGACTCAGCAGCGAGAGATGACTCAGCAGAGATGACTCAGCAGGGAGAGATGACTCAGGAGCGAGAGATGACTCAGCAGCGAGAGATAACTCAGCAATGAGAGATGACTCAGCAGCGAGAGATGCGACAGATGACTCAGTCGTGAGAGATGACTCAGCAGCGAGAGATGACTCAGTCGCGAGAGATGACTCCTCCGCGTACTAAAGTTGTACTGCAAAATAGCCTCAGCTTCCAGCTCCACAGGTTGCTCCGCATACTAAAGTTGTACTACATAGTCGCCAATTCTCAGCCTCCAGCTCCCCAGATACTCCGCGTACTAAAGTTGTACTACAAAGTGGCCAGTTCTCAGCTGCTAGCTGCACAGGTTGCTCCGCGTACTACAGTTGTACTACAAAGTCGCCAGTTCTCAGCCTCCAGCTCCCCAATCACTCCGCGTACTAAAGTTGTACTACAAAGTCGCCAGTTCTCAGCGTCCAGCTCCACAGGTTTCTCCGCGTACTAAAGTTGTACTACAACGTCGCCAGTTCTCAGCTTTCAGCTCTACAGATTGCTCCGCGTACTAAAGTTGCACTAGAACGTCGCCAGTTCTCAGCTTCCAGCTCTACAGATTGCTCCGCGTACTAAAGTTGTACTACAAAGTCGCCAGTTCTCAGCTTCCAGCTCTACAGATTGCTCCTCGTACTAAAGTTGTACTAGAAAGTCGCCAGTTCTCAGCTTCCAGCTCTACAGATTGCTCCGCGTACGCTGAGCGAGACTTATCTAAGTCTGCAATGCCAAATAACTTCTGGGCTGCCAAAGGCATCGTTCTGCGAGTCAGGCTCTGCGCATGGGAATAGGAATCGGTGAGCTAACACTGCGGCCGAAATGAAGTGTCTGAATGCCCCTGGAAAGAATCTCGACCTATCCAGAACCCCACTGTTACACGGGGCCAAGCCCTTTTTTGGAACTAAAACGTGTTGTTTACAGCTAGTTGCTGTTGCTGCCCTTGCTCATAGGCAACGAAAGGTCTCAGCCGCACGCCAACGCAAACAGCTTCTTTGTCTGTCATCGGAGTGGCGCAAGCGGCATGAATAAAGGTGCTATATAGGTTAAAGGTGTATATATTAATAAATAAATGCAATATTTTTAAAAAAGTATATATATATATACAAATGACATCATATTTATATATATATATTATTATAATATATTTATATAATATACACTTGTGTTTATAGAACTCACACCTGTTCAAACTACGATTGCCTGGAGTAGAAGCAAGGCACGTGTCATTGCGCTGCCCTACCCTGAATGTTACACTGAATGTTCGTGGCACTGCATCTTGTGGAGGTCGCGAAAACATCAATACAAACCCGCAAAGCTGGAGCCCCAAATGCGTCGGAAAGTTCCAAACAAAGCAAATGCATCAATCCACATAACATATCATAAAACCCTTGGTGTACGTTCCTGCATGTGCCAAAACACCCAAAGGAGTATGCTATTTGGCACCCAATTGGTCCTTGGCCTCATTAGCAAGAAACAAAGCCTCAGCAGGCTCCCAAACTCATGAACTCATGCATCCAAAAGAAGTGAAGCCATGGTCCCATACCCGTTTTGCGTGACAAAACTGTGCAACTCGACCTATTCTGCTGGAACCAATCAGCGGACAGGATTGAAAGACAAAAACGGCTGAATCTATGACAGGGCTTCCGTAAAAGACTGCCTCACACATCTTGACTGGTTTGTCAAATTCAAATGTTTTGGCGTGTTTGGACCGATATCAAAAATATCACCTCCATGACATGTCACCGACTGATTGCCTTGAAAGAAGCTGGGGCTGGGGTAGCAACACAAAAAAAAACCCCCGCAAAGAATCTGTCAGTGCCGGCGTGTCTAATTGATGTTGCTGTTGACAGCCTTGAAATGCTTCCCTGCATCTTGTTTCTTGTTGAGAGTCATGCCAACGAGTTGGAAGCCTGGGCACCAAGCGCTCAAAACATTTTGACGTTGCACATGCTGTACCTCTACATCAACCAGCTTTCGCACCCACCAACAGGCTTCTACATGCACAATTTTTACTTCAACGCCCTCTTACTTCAACAAGTTTTTCACTAACTGGCTGCCCTGGCTTTGTAGCAAGGAAAGTCGGTGAAGAAGCCACGTGTTCCGCAAACCGCAAGTCAGTTTGATCAGCATGAGCGGAATGACTCTCAAACGGGACAGTGCACTCTGTCAGAATATGCGAGAATGTTGTTGAAATATTGTGGTGCTCGATTATATTCATGATATACGTCCAAGAGGACACGTCCCTTCTTCATGTCATGAGGTTCAAGGATGCAGTGCTGTGGGAAAGGCTAGGTTGGTCTCCAAAGCACCCGGCTTGTGTATTGGATCAAAAGTTCAGATTGGCTCGATGAAACACATGATCTGGTCTTATATAGATTGTTTGATTACACCGTCCGTTCCGGAGGATTTGATTCTTGATCAATCTTGATCAGGTGACAGTTCTTTGCTGGTTTACCTCTGGGCTTTTGCTTGTAGCTCACCCTTTGTTATGCGGCTGTCTACCTCTAAAAAGCGGTCACAGCAAGGGGGATGAACCTGATGCTATCCAGAGTCTAGGGTTCTGATCAGGAACAAACTGGCAAGCTCCAAAACCAAAACGAGATGTCCCTCCGACGCCAGCAACAAATCCCCGGGAAGAGGGTTGAATGTTGGGTTCAGCAGGATCGACCACCAGCTAACTCCAGCTTCATCCCTGAAAGGTGACTACGGTGCGTTGTGACAGGGTTATGACAGCGCTATTCATTTTCAGGAACCAGGCGGTTCCTTCGTGTGGTCAATCAAAGTCCTGGCCTGGCTTGCCTGGCTGACAGGCACTGATGCAAAGACCAAGCAGCAAGATCCTTTATCAGCAATCGCTCAGGTTGCGTAAGGATCGTAAGGCGTAAGGCTTTCCTTATTGACTAAATGAACGCAAAAAATGTCGAGTGACTCAGGGCAATTGCGGGAGCCAATGTCAAACGGGCAGACTGTAGAGACAGCAGTCGCACAAGTTCGGCCAAAAAAGCACATGATTCCACATGATGCAAGGTGCGATGAGGATTTGAGCCTTTGAGTTTACTTGATGCTGCTGCCGCGTTTTGCTGAACATGGCTGGTGCGAAAACACGACAAAACAAATCAAGAACCAACCTTTGCAATATCAAATTTCTTCCACCCGCCCAAGCGTTGAACCACGGTACACACATACATCATCATACCTCAATGTCACAATGTCACAATACTAATGTGATAGTACGCCTGCTGTCGTGTGCGAAGTGTTGTCCAGTCTTTGTTTGCTAACTCACACTTGCTTAAGTTACAGGGTCTGCTCTTGAACGCTCATGCCTTTTATCCTGGTGCCCCATCAGAGTTGACTTCCTTCAATCCCATCACTTCCTCAAGCTCTTTTAGTAGCCTTTCAGGGCCATACTGACGGAAGGCACGAACTGTGAGGAGAGTTCCCACATCTAAAGAGCGAAGTCGATGCTTCAAGGACTGGACGACGGACAAACGAGCAAAGCGAGCCTGCCGAGCACCAAGTGCACTTGCACGTGGTTCGCTACCAGTCTGGTGCACTTCTAGTGCAAGTTGCACCTCTGGCCGTTTGCTGAGCATCTCGCTAAGCTCTCCAAGTGCTTGCAAGGCATCTATCCACTCTTCCAATGCAATACCCTTCAATGCAGAAACATTATCTCCATTAGCCGCAGAACTCCCCACAGGATTCCAAGCTGAAGCGTCCCTTGTTGTGCCAATCGTTTCCTCCAAAGAGCCCCCCTCTGTCACAACATGTGTTGCAGCTTGCCAGTCTATGAGCTGCTGCTGTCCTTGAAGTAAACGCTCATCAACCAAATCTTCAACACCCACGGCCGTCACAGAACACATGCCTCTCCAGTTTGGCTTGGGAGCTTTCACCTGGGTGACACCAATGAAAGCGGGCAAGACCAATGAGAACAAAACACTTTGAGAACGCCACTGAAATTGGATTGGGGAGGGCACGGGAGGGCTACTTTTTACCAGCGCCTGGGCAATGAAGTTTGCACCGGCCCGTGGTATGCCATGGGACTTGCCATGGGTTGCATATTCCTTTTGAGCAGCTTCACTGAAGAACATGTCAAAGAGCTCATCCTTGTTAGCCCTGACTTTCTCAACTCGCTCCACGCCGTTGCGGGCAATAATTCGTGAGGCGTCAGGACCATCCGCGCTTTCAGCTGCTTCTCGGGTTCGAAAGTCAGACGCCCAGAAGTGGAATGTTAGGAGGCCTTGTTCGCCCGAGGCTGCCTGATTTGCATGACCCTCGGCACATCCAAATAGCTGGTCAACATCAAGCAAGACATAGCGCAGAACTGGCCGTGCATCCGGTACAGCTGCATCCAGGGTAGAATGCGATAGGAAAGCATCAAACAAATTTTGATTGTCGGTGTAGGGATTGATGTATATCTGCTTCAGAAACAGAGTGAAGAAAGTCAAGGTCCGGTATGATGCGCGGACGTAGAACAAACCGTTGTTTAGACATCTGGCATCCCAATGCTCGGTCACCAACATCTCTACCCCTTGGTAATCCAGAGGAGAATCAGGAGTTGTAGTTGTCACGTTGAATGCCCAGTGCTGCCTGGCACCATTGGTACGAGACCCGAACGATGCAATTATTAGCGACAGAGTATGTCAACTTCACATTGCCAGAGCCTAGGATCGCATATTTTGGACAGATTGCACAGGTCTGAGGCGTTGTAGAAGAGAAAGGAGCCAAAGCGCACCTCGGAACATAAACGGATTTTCTCTGCAACTAGAGGAGCCCGCTGGTGTTGCACGATCGAGAAAAAAGACGTAGCACTAGAACCACTGACAGACGTTGCTGCAATTCAGCTAACAGACCCTGGAGCGTTGCGGAAGCACTTCATGAGGAGAATCGCGAGCTGAAATAAAGGCGTGCGATGGGTCCTCGAACATGAAAATATAGTTTGTTGCAACTTCGTGTGTCTTATATAGTTAGAGAGATCTTCAAGGTCTACTATGCTGTGACATCTGGTTGGCCTGCAGGATAAAGGTGTCAAAGTCAATCCATACTGCATCCACGGCAGCACTCAGAAGAACCGGCAAGAAGGCATGTTTGATGAATATCACGTGTCCTGCTCAAGCAACGGAACATATTCTCCACAGAGTGAGTGACTGTGCAAAACACAAGTCTGCAGCACCCATTGCACTGTGTTGCCTCACTGAGTACAAGTACTGACCTTCCAAGCTATGCAACTATGCACATCAAATTTGGTTGCACCAATCAACTGGATTTGTTTGAATGCACGTCTGAACATAGGTCCTTCCGTTGCCGAAAGGCACAGCACATGGTCGGACCCAGGTTCTGAGCAGCCAATGAGACAAATTTGCAGCTGGTCTGCTGAGCTAAGAGCAGCTACACATCAACTTGCTCAAGGGACTCAAGGGCTCTAATTACCACCCAGCTGCTTGAACTTGCAGCAGCACCGCTTGTGCCCTGCACGACCTGTGAAGATCAAGTGGCACCACATGGCTGACGAAATCAACAACACCACAATCAGCAAATCAGCCAAATGTCCTGCATGCATCTTTCCAACGCGATCGCATCCATACAAGCGATAATCAATGCAGAGATGCCAACCACAAAAGCTCTGTGCACGAATCCTGCGAGCCGTTACCGAGCTTCAGCGCTGAATTGTTGCAACCTTGAGGAAAAAATATCTGCACCAAGCTGTCATATCTAAAGTTCTGAAGGCTCCCTTACAGTGTAGGCCTGCACATTTCTAGCAGCGTTATACTTGCCGGAAGGGGGTGCCATCATAAACCCCAAGTCAGCTTCAGCCATGCTGCTGCCTACAGTTCCTCATCGTTTCTTGTGGGGTCAGCGGTCTTCTCCGACAACTGCTCATTTGCACCAAGGACCTTTTGGACTAATATTCGACATCAAGTTTGATCGATGTCTTTACGTAAGCCACTATGTGTTGACCTGTCGGGTCAACACGCATGACACACACAAAGGTGTGTATTGCTAAGT